CCCTGTGAGATCTAATGGGTCTGTGGGAGGTAATTGGCAGCAGGCGGTCTCTTGCATTTGACTCTTCATTCTTCCTAGATTTTTACTGATATTTTTTAAAAGAAGAAAAGTTCTCATACTATCAATCAAGACATGATAAAGTTATGACACTGCTTCAGAGAACCCGATTTATAACACTGTGTTTCCTTTTACTTCTTTTCTGACATTTGTAATGAGCATGCAGGCCTAAGATCTTTTTAGCCATCCACATTTTAAGGTTGATACTGATTACAGCTTACATGATTTTGACAATGAAATAGCTAGGCTTATTTTCCTCTCATGGAAAATTGATTTACATCTTGCTTATATCAGTTTTACTACCTAATGGTGCTTCTCCATGGTTCATTCAGTGAGATCACCATTTAGAACTATCCTTCCAAAAGAAAACATTTATCAAAAACAGGACCTTATTTCTGGTTGCCCCAAAGTTATAAAATATATACCCTTAAGGTGTCTGTTTGTCTTTGTGGAGGTAGAGAAATATTAAATTCTACCAAGCATCTGTATGCCTTCAGAATGCCGGCATTTTCTTTTCTTTTCTTGAGATTTTAAATTATTGAGGTTTAAATTATTGCTTTTAGTTTAAATAAGTTTCCTGTGGGGTGAGTAGGGGTAAACTATTTTATCACAAAGGTTGTGGTTGTTTTTTTTTTAAATGAAGTCTGGAAATGTCACAAATAAATAAATTCCCAACCTTTTTACATTAGCAAAACTGATTTTTATTATACCTTCCCCTATCATCTTACCGAACTATTCTGGCACTGTACACTTGAGCTATTGAAGCGAAGAGCAGGTACACGATGAATCACTCCTTGGATATTGAGAACACATTCATATCCACGCTGGCCAGATTGCGGTTGGGGTAAATTCCTAGCTTTCAGTGTGATGGGCTTCACTTCACCAACAGGGATCAAAATTTCTTCTGTAGGAAATAACTGTGGGCAGTCCTAGAAAATACAAACAGAAAAAAAGTTATTCAGATACAGATGTGGGCTTTTGTATTCAATATATTTGAAATTTGTTATAGAATCTGAGAAACAACATCATGAAAACAATTACCCAGTCTTGGAACTAGTC